TTGTTTGCAATGTCTGATCGCCCACAGCAGGATTGTTTTAGGGACCATTTAAGAGACTTAAGAAGTCAGAGTGGTGGTTTTATTTATAAAAAAAGACCAAAACAGCATATAGATTCAATATATCCATAATTTCGTAATGATTAAGCAAGTTAGCATGCATACTTATTTTACTTACATTTTTGGGATTGACCTAACTGTAAGTTTAATATCTTTCTGTAAAGAAACAAAACACACACCATAAGCTGCTCTAATCAGTACTTTTATACAGTTGTTTAGCTCACTGTTTGTTTTTTCAGCCCGCAACTTTACCATTTTGGTTCACTCTCACTGCTCTCATCAGTCGTTTTCAGCTGCAGCAGACAGATGAAATCAGTGAAAAAGCCTCGAAAAACTGGTGACACATAGTAAGTGGCGCATTTAGCATCTAAGAGACAGATATTTCCTATAATTGGGTGAAACTAAATAAGGCTAAATGAGAGTGAATATAGGACTTACATTTGTCCATTTGTAAGTAAGCAAGTGTTGCCTGGCGTGTTTGCCATGTCAACTTTTTTCAACACCTGCAGGTAAATCTTTCTGTATACGCAGTATATCGGGGTTTTAAATCCGGTGTCTGTGTCACCACACCGATAGTGACCAGCCAACCAGCATTGACTGGTTTGCCGGAACCGAAGGGGGAGCAACCATAGTGACAACAGCTCAGTATGGCAGAGCCTGTATGTCATAAGCGCGTCAATAGTGTTGTGTAATTACTCTCACTGTCAGAAGGGGGAGACAAAAGTTTTATACTGCAGATTTAAGTATTAATTGTGATTCAGCCACTTTTTACACCACTGCATCATTTAAACTCACCTTAAAGGCATCAGCTAGGATCTCTGCTCCTCTCTGATTGGTCCGTTTGGAAAGGCCCACAAAGAACTCTCGACCTGAAGGAAGACACTACTTCAGTTATGTAAGCAAATATCAATTCAATTCAACATTATGATGCTTGTTGGGGCAATTGTATACAGCGGCTTGCCACCCAGATCAACTGATACATACACAATACATAAGAAAACAAATAAAAACACTCTGAATCACAAAACTAAAAAACATTAAACCCTACAAACTTACACTTACTAAAAAACAGTATCTGTAAGGTATACATTGATATAGTCTAAACATCTTAAACACCAACAATACAGCGAGCCTGTGGCGCTACAGCAGATGAACACTGCAGTCACCACAGTGTGTGCTTTATGCATGCCTGTGAGAAAGGCCAACTGTGGTCAGTATGGTGGGGCACAAACAGACAGAGCCCTGAATGCCTGGCAAGGCTGCAGCAGCACACTGAGCTCAGGGATGGGCTCCTAATGTAGCTGCTGAGCCTTTACAAAATGAGCCGTTAGCCGGGGCCCTGCCAACAGGAAATGTTTCTAGCCCTGCCATGTGAAACCGATTTCAGCTGGAAGGAACGAAAGCACAAAGCCAGAGTCTAGAAACCCAATTAGGTGTACTATAGTTTTTCCTAGTGGCCTGAGCAGTGTAGAAGACAGTGACCCACACTTTAACTCACCACACGACTATTACAGTATGTGCAGAAGATCTAATAATGACAACCATGCTCCTGATTTTCTGCCCTCATCAATTTTATTACCTGATGCCAGAAGCAAGACAAGAGCCCAGAGTTGCTGCTGGTTTGATTTGACCATGCAGTAAGGTGCACAATGTTTTCGCTACTGATTATTTTTTGAGAGAAATTCTGTGCGCTGAGGCACCAGGTCATCAAGGTCGCACAGAGGGATGTTTGTGTGGAGGATCTCGAAACACACACACAATGGTCTTCTCACTTAGTAAACTCTCTGAGCCGTGACTGCAGAGGCCAACACTCTCTCACACTCTCATTGCTCTCTAATGTGTTTACAGATATCTTTTGTTTGTGCTTCCATTCAAAAAGTACACACATAGTTCTGATGAAGTTTAAGTATATTATGTAAGAAATAAGGCATTACATGTCTTGAGATGCAAAAATAAGGGGAGAGATAAAGAAGACCATAACATAAAGCATCCTGTTATACAATTTCAACAGACACCTCCAAGGCAACCAGAAATATGTACATTATTGTTGCTGTTTTAAAATAGTTTTTTAACGGTTGGAGAATTTCTGCATTTATTTATGCCCTGTACAGTGAAAATCTGAAGTAGAAACATCATTACTGACCTTGATTCTGTATTAATGTATATTGTCTGCTATGTAGCAGAAGTGAGTTACAAAACACAATTTCACTCTATAACTTGTTATATTGTGACAATAAACCTACCTACCTACCTCAAGTATTGAAGGACGGTGAAAATGCTTTATACTTTTATTGTTGTTATACTAAATGAACATTTGTTCTCTTTGCTGTAGATTGTGTTCAAGATGATGTGTATAACCTATAAAGCTTTTCTTTGTGTTAATATGCCCATGGTAGCTTCTGGTGTCAAAATTAAGTTGTACAACACTTTGGTCAATGTAAAATTATTCTGAAAGTGCTTCATAAAGTAAAAGTTCAATTAATTAAATAATGGGTCTTAAGGAACATCAGCTGTAGAAAACATCCAGACAAACCCCCACATCTTAAACCAAATTGTATTTTTGGATTTTACTTGCAGATTAGGTCACTAATGCAGTGCAGGAGATAAAACCTGATGATGCATTTCATATCACTGTCATAGCAACCCCACGGCACAACATGGCTAGCATGTATCCACATTTGTAGCCAGTTCAAACTAGGGCGATTAATTTTTAAACTCTTTAGCTCCTGTATTATTCAAAACGGATAAGCAGTAAATCAGTTTATAGTATGATTAATGATGAGTAATGGTGGAGAAGTAGTATCAAATTTTAATGATATGAGAAAGATAATTTGAGTCAAGGCATGGCATTAAATAATATAATATCATCAGGTCGGCCTACCTACAGACCTCAAGAAAAACTAAGTTCACCACAGTGTGTTATACAGTAAGCTCAATACAAAACCCACAGTTCAACCACCATTTAATGCATCCTTATCTCAGTTCAAATCTCCTAGGAGTCCATCTTTCTATATCCCTGTAAGCAAACAAAAAATACTCAGTTTGAGGTTCAATTCAAAAGTTGGCCAACGAAAATGAAACCAAGTGACGCCTCTCATGATTAATAGACAAGCTTAGTAAGTTCCCCACCCCTGCAGCGTCTGATGCTGCAGCGCACTGGCTGTAACCTGGCTGTAACTGTTGGACTTGTGCGTTTGGTTTGAAAGGTCGTTTCACAGATATTTCCTAAGCTGACTGGTGGCTGTGTGTGTGATGCAGACGCCGACCGCCACAATAGCTTACCTTACTACACGTGTAAAAAACCCCAAACAAATAAACAACCTACCCCAGATAGCAAGACATAATTGAATAAATATTGATTTTCCATCTGAATCATCAGAATGGTTGAGATTGAAATCTCTACCCTAAATAAATACGGCCATACATGAGCATGACATTGGAATAATACCGATTTATAGTTGTCCCGATTATATAATAATAATTTAATTTATTTGTAGAGCACTTTTCAAAAACAAGTTACAAAGTGCTTTAACAAGTGTAAAGACAATAATACCCCAAAAACAGTAATACAGAAACAATACAAGATAAAAGCAAGAAAACATTGAAAAGACTAAAATATACGTTTAAGATAAATATAAAATAAGTAAAATAGAATAAAAGGGATAAAATAAAGTCAGATAAGATTGGGAAAGGCTCTCCTATAAAAGTATGTTTTAAGATGGAACTTATAAGAGTTCACTGACTCAGCCGACCTGATTTCCTCATGCAGGCTGTTCCAGAGCCTCGGGGCCCTGACAGCAAACGCTCTGTCCCCTTTAGTTTCAGTCGAGACTCTGGAACAGACAGCAGACCTCTGCCCGAGGATCTCAAGGTACGTGCTGGTGGTGTATGGGACTAAAAGTTCAGAAATATAACAAGGCGAGAGGCCATGAAGAGCTTTAAAAGTGATTAATAAAATTTTAAAGTCAATTCTAAAACATACTGGGAGCCAGTGTAATGAAGCTAAAATAGGAGTAATGTGGTCATATTTCTTTGTTCTGGTTAAAAGCCTGGCAGCTGAGTTCTGGACAGTCTGGAGTCGATCAGTAGATTTTTGGGTTAAACAAGTGAAAAGGCTGTTGCAATAATCCAGGTGTGATGAGATGAAGGCATGTAAAATGGTCTCGGTGTCCTTAAAAGTTAACATAGATCAAATTTTTGCTATATTTCTAAGTTGATAAAAACATGATTGAACAAGCTTTGTGGTGTGCTGCTCGAAATTTAAATTACTATCAAACCAGACACTAAGGTTCTTTGCCACAGGCTTAATGTGATTTACTAGGGAACCAGCAGATGGCAGTATTTAGTTTGCCATCTGCTGGGACCCGATGACCAGGATTTCTGTTTTGTTTAGGAAATTATTTGACATCCATTTTTTAACTTCACAAAGGCAGTCGGTAAGTGAACTCAGCATTCCAGGGTCTGTGGATCTGACGGGCAAGTATATTTGTGTGTCATCAGCATAAATATGAAAAGAAATACCATGTTTATGGATAATATGTCCAAGGGGAAGCAGATACAAAGAAAACAAAATGGGTCCTAAGACCGACTGGACAGAACGAAGAGACATAGTGGTTTACAGACACCAAAACTTCCTATTTGACAGGTAGGATGAAAACCATTCTAGGGCAGTACCAGAGATCCCCACCCAGTGCCTCAGTCTGTCTAACATGATGTTGTGATCAATGGTGTCAAAAGCAGCGCTAAGGTCCAGGAGTACCAGGACTGAGCACATGCCTTCATCAGCAGACATTAAAAGGTCATTGGTGACTTTAAGCAGGGCAGTCTCAGTGCTGTGGTACTTCCTGAAACCAGACTGTAACTTTTCAAATAATTTGTTATTTTCCAGTACAGTGATCAGCTGTTTGGACACAATTCTTTCTAGAATCTTTGCAATAAAGGCAGTTTTGAAATTGGTCTAAAATTATGTGGGAGGGAGGGATCTAAACCAGGTTTCTTTAAAAGTGGGTTCACGCAAGCCATTTTAAAATAATCAGGGACATAACCAGTAGATATGGAGCTGTTGAAAAGAGAGATCAAATGGGGCCAAACAGAATCCATTACTTTCAGTAAAAATTTATAGGTATTACATCAAGTGGGCTGGAGGACACTCTCATTTGTGATACTGTTTTTAAAAGCTCAGACAAGTCGATGGGATAAAACTGGTTAAAACTCTCTTGTTGCTGGTGAGGAACCTCTGAGTAAGAGGCCGCGGGGGTAATAGAGGCTCTGATTGACACCACCTTATTGGTAAAATAAGATAAAAACAATTCACAGATTACTTCCAGCTGAGGCACAAGGAGGGGTTGGGTTTATCAGTTGATCCACAGTCTTAAACAGAAACCTGGGATTGTGTTTATGTGTAGTAATGAGTTCAGAAAAATTGTGTGTTCTCGCATCCTTAACCATGTTATTGTAGTTAATTAATAAATCCTTCAGACTGAGGTAATGGACTTGGAGACTGGATTTTTTCCATCTGCGCTCTGCTTTCCTGCATTCCCTTTTTAGGCTGCGAATGCTGTCATTTATCCAGGGTTGCTTACTAGCTTTAGACGTAGGCCTAACCTTTAGAGGAGCAGTAATATTTAGTGACGACAAGCAGATATGATTGAAGTGATCGACCAGATTGTTGGTGTTGGAATCAGACAGGTGTTGGCTTTGGCTCTGAAAGAATGTGCAAAACTTTTTTTCATTAAAGATGCGAGAACACACGGAGCTTGGTGAGGCGGCATGAGTAACAGGCCAATCGCAGCTAAAAAGAATACATCTGTGGTCAGATATGGTCATGTCCACTAATTCCACAGAGGAAATGCTGACACCCAGGGTAAAAACATATTTAAAAAGTCAGTTGCATTAACATTGGTGGGGTCATCAACATGAATATTAAAATCCCCACAAAGAACAATTCTGTCATAATTTAAAACCAGAGTAGATCAATTATAACAAATATGATAGGTTGCAGCCCTCCAACTTTAAGAGTGAGAACTTCAAAGGAGTTAAATTCATCACAGCGTACTTGATGACATTTAACATTTTTCCTATACACGCTCACTAGCCCACTGACCCTCGGTTGACTAAAACAATCATATTGAGGCAGACACAGTTCAGCTAGCTGGCTATAGTCATTCATTTGCAACCATTATTCACGTAAAATCTAGACAAGATAAAATCATTTAAGATAAAAGTCTTACTTGAAAGTGATTTCACATTTAAATGAGTTTGTTTTGGGTGCTGGATTGGTGCAGTTGTCCTAATCCTTAAGAGATTACTATTATTTCTGTGTGGGATGTGCACATTTCGGTTTACTGGTCTATGCGTGATGATGACAGGAATAGAAGTCTTTGGAACAGCGGTGGGAGCAGACGGTTTACATGCCAGCAGGTGGAGACAGTTTTTTGTGGCAGTGAGGCAGAGATCTGTTCAGTGAGCGGTGGTGTGTCCAGCTGTGCTGCATGAATGATTAGTCATTCACGTAAGTCATGTGTGGACCGCACCACATGCTGTATGTGAGCAGCTAACATTTCTGAGCCCTGTTTGTTTGGGTGAAGTCCGTCTATCTTAAAAAGAGACATTCTTTGCCATAAAATATTAAAGTTATCAACATAACACACACCGTGAGCCCTGCAGGCGGACTGGAGCCAGTCGTGGAGGCCAAGGAGTCTACTGAAACGGCCAGCCCCCGACCAACTGTATGTGACCAGAGATAAAACAGACTTTCCACATGCTTTAAAAAGTTAAAAAGACGGTAAAAATCTGATTTTGTCAGCTCAGACTGCTGAAGAGCTGTGTCATTTGTTCCCACACGGACTATCAATCTTGTGATGGAGGACGGGAGCGATGGCATTAGGTCCTGGAGTTTTTTGAAATGTCAGCCGTGGTGGCACCGGGGAAGCAGTGAGTGGTAGTGTTAAAGAAACGTATGTTTCTGGTTATGGAGTCACCAATTATTAGTGTGGTTGGGGAGAAAAGGGGATGAGGAGATGCCGGTTGTGTGGTTCCAGAGCAGGACTGAGCAGAATCTGCTTCAACACTGCGTGCGGACTGACTTTGGAGTGTGTGAGCTGCCGAGTGTTGTGTTGGAGTAGCAGTAACAGACCTGAGAGATCACCGTTTGCCGCCAGTGCGGGAGATGTAGCCAGTGGAGGAGATGCAACAGTGTCGGCAGGCACTGTCTGCCGAAAGGGATCCATATCAGGGAGACTCGAAGCCGCAGGTGCATCCGCTGGATGGACCGGAGTGTTGTCAGACAGGGCTGCATAGCGGTTTGAGAGGTGGATGTGCGGAGGAGAGGCAGCTCCGTCCGAGCCTCTCTTGCAGCCACGGACCACCACTTCAGCCTAGGTTGACTGATGCTTCAGAGTCGAGCAAGAGGAGAGCCTTGGAAGGCTAGAGGTGTCCCATAGCACAGTGTTCTAGATGTTAGCGGTTGCGCTAAGAGAAACAATCTGTTTGGCTTGTACTGAAGCCACATCCATAAAGCCAGTCAGCAGGGAATCTTTCTCTTTGAGTTCCTCTGAAAGTCGTCGGATGTCTTCCATAAGGTCAGCAATCTTTTTGTTCGCTTTCTTAAGGAGTGAGCAGTCCTCATGGGGCAGAGTTATCTCGACTAGCATAGTCACCGGAGCTTTGTTGTGGTCAGTAGCGTTGATGGTGTTTTTACGGTTATCTATCTTAAAATTCACGTCGGATGACTAAAATCCTTAACCCACGTAAAATTTAAGTTAAAAATTTAAGTTAAATAAAAAGGATATAAAAAATGTAACGAGAAAGTGTGGATTAAAACTGGATAAGAGTCCAGTTTAAGACTCGACACCTGTCGGAGAAGTCCAACAGGTGGCTACAGACGCCAACGCATGCACAGAGATTACGTCAGCGATCTTACTTGATTTAGCATTGATTTGTAGTTGACTGGATAACAACAACAATGTTGAAAATTCATCTATTTATAGTTGACCAGAAATTACGTGATATTGAAAGGCCATTGATTTATAGTTGACTGGGAAATATGATTGAAAAGTCATTGAATTATTGTTGACCGGGAGACCATCACTTGGTGGATCAACGTTCCTGAACCCCACACAAGTCCACATCAGGTAATCACAAATTTATTTATCTAATGTTTAATTGTCCCACATTTGTAGACATTCATTGTTTATTGACATTGTCTCACATTATATGCAGTCATAGACTATATACAAGTGTTTCAATACCATTTTATACTGACAAATAGCACAATATCCAAGCTCCATAGTAATAGGGGGAAAAAAGTTACTTTTCTAGCATAAATGCTAACTTTATCACCAGAAAATTTCCTATACAGGACTGTAAATCATGATAATAACTGTATTTTATTTTTGCTCAGATTAAGTGCTTTGCAAAATATATACATGCTTTTCTCATGCTCGTAACTGATCCTAGCTAATGCCCCTGTCATTTAACATTAAGTAAGCCAGCTAACTTCATACATCTGTCAGTCTTCTACAACTTTCAGCCTCCAGATTCAATGTATGACTGCATTTAATGTTAGACAATTTAAATTACGTTAAACTATAAACATCAACTATAAACAGCACGTGGTTAGTTAGCTGTAACGTTAATGAATTCAAGTAAGTTAACTGTTAGGCTTTGCCGAATATAATATCTATATAATAATATAGCGCCAATTCAGCCTGACTGACATTGTTCATCTTCACATCCTTTTCATTACTGAAAGTTATTTTGTTTGTATGTTTTCTGTTATAGATGCCCTGACTGAACCAATGGGGACAGAAGTCTTTGACTTTGCCCAGGCAGCACAAAAATGGCTTCCTATGCTCCAGACCGGATGGGTGGACAGAGCAGAGCAGGAGTAGTATAAATAAACTTGTATTTTTTAACTGATTATATTGTCTGTTGTCATTTATATATTTTAATATATTATAGTCTCTTTTCTGTGGTTTAATATTGGTTGAAATAACACTGAAGTCACGTTGATTTTTAGTTAGGCTATCATTTCAATGTTGTTTCAATAGTAATATTGGTTGAAATAACACTGAAGTCACATTGATTTTTAGTTAGCTATGATTGAGAGCGGAATCCTGCTTCATCACTGTAACTTCCCCACCAACAGCCTCTCCTTGCTGAGCGAGTCTGCAGGCCTGTTTAGACCAAAGGTGTTGCCAGTAGCAACACAGAATGTTGATCTAAAGTGAGAAATTAATAACGCGAAAATGACTGCTTTCTCTATAGAGATCAATTTTTTCCCCGCTGGCGTATAAATGCTGTTTTTTTCAATCTTTATCTTGGCAGTGATACCTCTCAACAAAAGTGGGTGGTAGCCTAGGCTAAATAACATACTCTTAGGAAAAGTCAAAGACTGGGGGACTTGAATATTGTATAGATAAAACAGGCTTAGGCTACAATTGAAAAACAGCAGCAGGTAAATTTTAGAAAGTACAGCTGAGGGGGCAAAGCCCCTCGTGGCACCGGGCTGCTTAAGGCCATTGTACAACAACAAGTCAAGGTACAGCATAATGTGCAAAGTTGATGCTTCATAGCAGACTGCTTTACTCTTGGGTGTCATGTGACCAGAGTGTAATCGCAGCCTTTGTGATTAGAAAATCAAATTTTTTCACACAGCGATATTTTGGCAAATGCAATTAATCGTTCAGCCCTAGTACAAACTGACACAGACAACATGGTGCCACATGACACAGACAACATGGTGCCACCTCTCTGCATGTCTCACCGTCATAGTTTCATCTACAGCATATATTCAATTCCAGTATAAACTAACAACTGGCAAAACAATGCAAAAGATCTACTCAATGGCTTTCAGAGCTTATAGAGCTCTGTAACAGCTATTTTATGCAACAATGTGATATACCTTGAATGAATTTATGGAAACCCCAGAGTAAAAATGGTACCCCTTTAGGAAGCGTAGCAGCTAAAAATGTTTTTAAATCTTCCATATGTTTTTATTGTAAAAATATTTTACTTTATTTGGTTTGGATTTTATTCTATAGTCTTCTATTTTATTTTTACTATTTGTTATTTGTTTCTCGAGCTAGGCACAAACAAATTTCACTACATGTACGGTGTATGGTTGTGTATGTGACAAATAATCTGGATTTTTTTATTTATGCGGATGGCTTTAGGATGTTGCTTGACTGGAAGGTTTAGGTGTTCCACAAAATTTAAGGGATTGAGGGGACATAGCTTACCTGTAAAAAGCACATCTCCTCCATCCAGTGTGGCATTCTCATCAGTCATTTCCACAATGTTCAGATTCAAATCTTTCAGAGCTCCTTTCATTGCCTCCGTCTGGAAGAAATACAAGGACACAAACAGAAATACATGTCAAACATCTGCTGATATTAAACAAAAGACTGAATCGTAATGACGTACAGTAAGCTACACCACTAAATAGCCCAAACCATCAGCATTTCCTATCTTCAGGACTATTATGATACGGTCCAGTTCTAATCAGATGTCTGTAAACAAGATGATGAAAATCAGTTGAGGATTTTCACTGGATTTCTGTAAGGCACAGTATTTTGCAGTACCCAGATTCCTGAGACTGAGCGCAATGAAACAAAACCTTTTCTCTCCAACTGATTTCAATGACATCATTTTAATGAGCCATGAAATGATGTCATTTTGGAGGAAGTTATGTTAAAACTTTTACAAGTCAGTGGCTGCGGAAAATAGGTACGCTAAAGGACCGACACAAACTAGCCTCTTCCTGTCCTCATGTTCTGGCTCATCTGCCTTTCATATATTTACAGGAAGGAAGTAAAAGGATGCCACCCAGATAACATTAACATATATTATGAAATGCATTCGCTGGATGGAAAATTAGGGGTAATCCACATTTCACCTGCATGTCCTCCCCGCTGAACTGGAAACCTGAGGAAAGAGCAGGTCTTTTTTTGGCTGAACTTCGGTTGGTCTGCTCTCCTGTCTGACCGCCCAGTGTGATTTTACTGTCCTGTTTTTGGGGTTCCCGCGGGAGTATTTTCCAAGGCCAGTCATGTTTGCAAGAGCATCAGTGTTTCCACAAGCCCTATCTCACTATGACCTCAGCCTGCTCACTGTGCTTTTTTGCCAACACAATGCTTCTGCTTCTCCTCATTTGTGGAGGGCCGAACAATGAGGTCATCCAGGTAGACTGCCATTCACTTGCCCAATAATACAATGAAGGCCTACATTCACATGCATGAATACACAAATGTCCTTTTCTTGAACTGTATTATGCAATACAGTTCAACAGCACCACAAACTTCTTCCTCCAAAATGGCCTTACAGGTAAATAAATCTTTAAAACAGTTCATGAAGATAGGGTTTATTGTAGAACTGTATTAGACTGCATTCGATTTAGCTAGGTGTATCTAATAAAATGGCAACTGACTATATGTTCAAAACAACATACTATTATTTAATCTTTTACAGCTGTTTGTTTGGATCACTGTTTCTTTAAATAGCCTTATGAACCAATGGCACTTTTCCGATCTATTCACCGTGACAGTGGAATCCCACAGAATAATCAAACTTTCCTCCTCCATGTTTCATCTTCACTGCAGGCATTCTATTCATCTTTCTGCTTTAGTTAACCAGGAAGAACACAATGTCCTTCCAAGTAACTGGGTTCACAAATTTATTAGTGGTTTCTTAAAAGCTTTGACAGCAACAGTGTGCAGCATATTAAGTTTAGGTAACAGTTAATCCCTTTCATTTTTGTGTATGCTAAGCAAAGGCATTGCTGACAAACTCTGCTTTTCATTTAGTTAGGTTTGTAGGTATGTTGGGTGACAAATAAAAGGTTGACTCAAGTTCTGAGAAAGTTAACAATCCAGATGGTTGGCTTGATGGCTTTTGATGTTTGTTCAAGTCGTGTGTTATGTTGTCTGTGTCTCATTGCTGTGGAGTCTCAGCTGGTCCCAAGTTATTCCTACTCCATCACTGATTCATCATTTGTGAGGGAAACCTCAGTCAGTTCAAATATTTAATGCATTAACAAAGACCTTGCCTGCATGTCTGTGCCCATCAATGAGGCCAGATTAGCACAACAAAGCTAGAGAACAGGCACTCAATATTTAATTTCCAGTATAATCCACTATATAATTAAAAAACACCTTTTGCAACAAGCTTACACACATTATACACACTGTTCCGAGTCTCCACCATAATTAACAGCCACTGCTTGTGCCCTTTTTCTTCTGTCTGTAGCACACTGCACTATCACAGTGGTCATCTGCCCAGGAATCTGCAGGACTGTATGAAACAACTCTTTACTTCATGTCTCTGGCATTTCCTCTGACATCACTGGAGGTAATGGCTCCTATACATACAAAAGTATGATATCTGCTCTGTCTCCTGTGTGCGTGTGGTAGAGATCATCAATTAGGTCTTTCCACGTAGACCCAAAGAAATGTAGCCCGTGAGTTTTGACTGGAGATTTAGTACGCACGGAAAATGAGATGTGGACAAAAAACAAGCACAAATGTGTTGGAAAAAGAACTAGAACAAACGGAAGAAAAATCTACATTAGTACCATGTCACCAGATTTTAGTAGGTTAGGTAGTTCACACTGAGGAGAAGATTGTGTGTAGTGATGTCATGGTCTTGTGTATACAGTTTGGGAATGGTGAGGTATACACTGACTACACAAAGATAAATTACAGACTTACTGTAATTTATCACTTACTATAAACAAACAAAGGCTGCTGCCAAATCCTGCAAGAAAAACTAGAATAATCACACAAATAAAATGTTCACAAAGCAGACCCCATCTAATATCAATTTGTGGCTTTAGAGCTAAGCGACAGTATCATCTAGTCTACTCCAACATCAGTTTACAATGACATAAACTTTCATTTTGCATTAGCACAATGTATTGCTTTACTTTAATTGTCTAAATTGGCCACCTGCAGCTGAGATTGACAAACTCAGCGGTGTCCTTGAACTGTTTTATGAGCCTCCTCTGACTCATATGCAGTTTCCAGATTTGGCTAGCTGCCTTGGAGAAGTTGCTGAGAATCATCTTCCCTTAGCAGCACTCAAGCCTAGCTTTGGGCTTGTGAATTCCATACGTACAAAGTCTCAAACAATCCAATATGGATTCGGACTGATTAGCATCACTCACGTCTAGCAAAGGTTAAAACGGTGAAAGTTAGCGAAGGAAAATATTTAAGTTAGGCTTAAGTCAGTCTGGCAGAACATGTGCAGTGTAGGTTACAATGTGTCCGTTAAGTCTGTTGTTTCCGCAACTGCTGGAAAAGTGAAGGCGGTTAGCGCTAGCTAACAGTATTCCCATTCAATTACTTTAAAATGTCTTTTAATAGGCTACGTTTTCTGAAGTGGTTGTCCACTGCATCTGTTAGGGCCTGTCCATAGGCTCGCCATTCATCTGTGACAACATCTGAGCCTCTTCTTACATGATGTTGGTTGGCAACAGGTCTTCTCTTGAGCGATCTTTCACCACCCTGACAATGAGTGTCCTTGATGTAATTATGATGTGTTTTCTTGCTAAACTGCAAAATGTTCAAAATTCATACAGATCGTTCATAAAGTGAAGAAACATAAATAAAAGTTGTTTTCCTGCGCAAAATGTGTGTCACTTTACTGAAAGCAAACAATGACGTGTTATAAGGTCTTATAATTAGTTCATATGGTATTGTGCCAACCTGTAATATATTATACAGGGATAGATATTTAACACTTTACTTAAAGCAAACAAAGACATGCTATATAACATTAAACATTACTATAAGCCATTATTCCATTTTATATCACTAATTCTAAATGTTGACTAAAGTGTATTTATAACGAGTCGATGGTTATAATGTCTTATGGAACATGGCGGAGATTCTTGCCGCATGTTGACATAAACTGGTATTACTATTAGTTATAAAACATTACATCAAAAGGTCATAATACATTTGAACTTTTCTATAGCGCCTAATGCATGTTTGTAAGTGATCATAACTATAATGTCTTATGAATGCATTATATCGTGTTATAAATATATGCGTAACTCATTATAGCGATGACCTTCATAGAAAGTGTTACCAAACATGTTTCTGCATCTTATACCAAATGATGCCCCGACGGTTTGAGACCCTGAGATTTATGGAGTTACTTTTGCGTCAAAAAATACTTTATTGATCCCCGAGAGGAAATTCTTTGTCACAATTGCACACTTGTCAAGGAAGAGAAATAGTAATAAAGAGTATAAAAATATAAGAGTATAAATATAAATATAAGAAAAATATAAGGATTGTGGGTATGTACAATGTTTACATTATTAAAGATTATTATGGTGAACCAAAAAGAACTAGTCAATAATAGAAGCAGAGAATATTGCTCATTAATTATTAAACAGATAATATTGCACAAAAATAGATAATACGGCCCAGTTTAAAAACTAACTAAGTGTCCGTGTGTCAGACACTTAGAGGGAGGAGTTATAAAGCTTGATGGCCATAGGCAGGAATGACTTCCTGTGGCACTCTGTGCTGCATTTTGGGGGGATAAGTCTTGCACTGAAAGTGCTACTGTGTTTGAGGCTATATTATGCATTTAAAAAATAGGTTTGAGAGCAAAAGTACCCACACTCACAAATGTGTGATTAAAAATGTCATGCAAAAGCTTTGTTGGCAAATCCAAAATATTGAGCTGAAATCTTGTGGGTGGGACGTAGAAAAGATGCGTATCTATTGGCCAGTCTTGATCAGAGTGACAGCTTGAATCATGTCTACTTCGTAATAGCAAGAATGCTATTTGAACTAAATGCATCTTTTGTAGGTCCCACCAATGGGACTTGAGCTCAACATTAATTGAAGCAGATAACCTATATTCCAGTGCAAAGTTGGCAGGAGTGCACCTTTATCATGCTGTCTGGTTTAATGGATAACTGCAAGGTTTAATGGAGGTTTATGTGCTAACAAAACCCTCTGCAATGTCTACAATGAAAATCAGGCAAGCGAAGGTGGGGAGGGGGGGGGGGGGGGGGTCACACAAAGACATCACTTGATAAAAAACTTCGTATTACGTTACAAGTCACAGACACGATGGATATTTTACAAGCGAGGACCAGGTAAAGCAACAGTGAACATACAATTGACATATTGCTTTAGGTTGATTGATAGGCTTCGTCATTAACAAGCCGACGTGCGGATCATTACAGATGGCGGGTGGATAACTCCGCAAAAGAGACGACTTCCATGTCTTTTGGCTGACTTTATAAAACATACTGCTGATGCAGAAAATCAGGAGACCGGAGAGAGAGACAGAGAGGCGGGGCAAGTTGGTATGTTTGCAGTGAGAGAGGTGTAGGTGTGTGAGTGTGTCTGAGTGTGGGGAGAAGTGATGGAATTTGGTCTTCTCTCCTATAGGCGAAGATACAGATTGCCCAAAATAAAAACTCACCGATACAAATTTTCCTTTGCACCCACGGCAATTAATGCCCTAAATCTGTACTGAGCTTGAGCTTCTGCTCAGAACGATAGATTGTTGAAGCTACCATTTCAACTTACTGAGTACTTTTAGACGAACAAAACAGGTTGTATATAACTCATGTATGTTTGTTTTAACCCTATTGCAAATCAAATTTCCCCTGGTGGGACTAAAGATTGAACTTAGAAGTCGAGGCAGGTGCAAAGCAGGTATAAAATACTAATGTCCGCGGGGATTAAACCTGCTTTCACAGGGCATTATAATAACAATCACGATGCCAGCTCAACATCGGCCCAACCCTATCTCAAGCTATTTATTATTTCTTGTTTTACTCAGTTTAAAATTTTTCTTTGATACCATGCAATCAACAATTTTTTGTCCATAATACTACAGCTAAATGGATCGATCACACCATTCTCAATAACTCTCTGTAACATGGGAAAGTCCCACCAGAATAGCATTTCTGAGATGTATTTTTGCATTAGGGGTATATTGTATATTTGCATCTGTGAATATGACATATAAATTCGCTTACATCACATATCTTGCACATTGCAACACTAAGCACAGAAATGTAGAGTAGCTGAAGCTTTTAACCTGTCTGTTGTATGCATTCTTCTATAGTTGTGTTCACCTGTATCAGTCTAATAAAATGAATGCTTGTTTATGAATTTTATTGTAGGTTCTGGCAGAACACTAAGTGCTGTAATCATGATTGGCAAAGCTCTGCTAGCTGCAGCATAGTAGGAAACACTTAGCATGCCACTGCACGTCCTACACAGCTCCCCAAAAATATACTGTAAATTAGAGCAGATTAAGCTTAAGTAAATGTTTTGCTGCTTCCTCTTGTAATTCATTTTGCATTTACAGAAAAGTAATATACTAATACTTGTGGAAGTTATAGTGCTTATTATCTTTGTGGCAAAAGGCGGCATCTAACTTTCCTCTCTGGCCCTTTTTCCCTTCTTTCTTTCTTTCATCGTCTCTCACATTCCCTTTATTCTCTTTAGACCCTCGTGGCAGGGTCAAGAATGCTCTTACAGTGGCTTCTCATGCAGAGTGGCCTATTATCTCTCACTGTGAGGGACATCCAATACCCCACCCTGCATAGGTGCCACCTCACTTTGCCAGCACCTCCTTCTCCTCTCCTTCAAACCCTCTTATGCTCCTCTCTTCTTCTTTCCTCCTTTTCCCCCGAGTGCTTGGCCAGGCAACATGCTGTTAGCCAGCACCCTGCTTTGAATGAAAAAGGCCTTTTAAAATTCATTAGGGGCTGAAAGCTCTGAGATCCAGTCGGTCCGCCTGCCACATTCCTGCCGTTCCAACACAGGACAGGGGAGACAGAGCAGAGAGAACAGCCTTTTATTTGGGGCTTTTTATGGACCCCTTCTCTCGCCCCTGGTACCCGTGGATATCGCATTCTGCTAAAAAGGACCATCAGTCTGATAGAGCACAGCGCATTTGGAAAGGAAAGAGAGTACACAACAATAGCATTCCTGAATGTCATCCTAGCCTCCCTACACCAGGCAACAGAGTCCCACGCTCCGACATAATAAGGCATACAGCATTCCTTCACACACAAAGAGGTTAACCTATTTAAATGTCAGTTATCACCTGCAGCTTGTGAATGTATTAAGTACATGAAATCAAGTTTGGGTGGGCAAAACAATACAGACTTTATATGCAGTGATTTGGTCACAAATAATTTATTTTTTTATTTCTTACCTTGGTTTTAAAAGTTAATTTAAACTGTCTAAAATAAGACAAAGTAATACATCTTTAAACCTACATTAGTCTATGTTTTTGCCACCTGGGTGAGGAGGAACAAGCTGTAAACACTACACTGGTATACAGTATTTTTACCATATAATGTTGATATGGAGAATGTGTTAGCAAACAGCTGCCTATTTCAGTGGTTCCCAACGTGGGGGCTGTGTCACCATGGGGTGTCTCGAGGATGGGACAATCGTTATTTTGTGGTTTTAACAAATAAAAACTGTGAAGCATTACATTAAGTGTTTTTATAAGGGATATACACATTAACGCATTATCGCGTTGACGCATTAATTAATTATCGTTAACAATGATTTTATCGTTATAGTTGTTATTATTATTATTTTGAAAGGGAAGATGTCAGTCTTAGGAACGTTCTTAAAATCTTAACGTAGTCGCTTGGCCCCGCAGGGTTGCTCTTTCGTCAGGTGAACTGGAGAGAAGCGCTCCGCGAGTAAACGGCAGGCACTCTATGGATAGTAACCATGGCAATGGCTTCTGTGTGCTAAACAGCTGTAGCCTATTTAACTTAAGTTAACATTATACATAACTTTACCTGAAAGGCCTAAATCTAGTTTTGTGGCTCTGCCATGCAAATTCCTTTTTGTTGATGTCCTGGTAACTATTTAGTAAACAGTAATAGATTCTGGAAACTCACAAACAGCGAGGATCAGTCTCTCTTCCAATTATTTGTGCTCCGCATCGTGTAGGCTACAAAAAGTTCAAGACAATTCAACTTTGACAGTGGGCGGGCGTGTGCGTGAGGTGACCACTTCACCTCACTCTGACAGGGACACTTGCTACTGAACATTATTATATTATGTTTATGCTGATACCTGATCAGTGCCTGTGTTATGATCGTGGCTCTGGACTCTTGTTTTAACAAGCTAGATAAAAGGTAATGCCCTGGCAGTGGCAAATAGTTTTGGTTTAATATTTGATTTGATTACATTAATGTTTAAGTTGAGATTTACAAGAAATATTTTATTGCTACTGTGTAAAGGGAAAACTGCTGGTAAAATGCACCTTATTTGTTTAAGGTGTTGACAAACCACGTTATTGCACTTTTGTGTGTATATCAGTCCATTTAAATTAAAAGTGCGAAATACACTACTTTAGAATTCATTATTCAATTTTGCACATAACTATGAGATTAATCACGATTAATCGCAGAAAATCATGTAATTAATTGCAATTAAAAAATTTGCCCAGCAGTAGTATTAAGACATTTCAAAACAGAAGACAAAACGTAATAAATATCATAAACATCATGTTAAAAACTCTAGGTGATAAAACAACATGTAACATGCAGGCTCAGGAGTTTTCAGGAGCTCAGCAATCAGAAAACCGTCAGAGCAAGAGATTGAAAGATCTGACCCGATAAACAGAACTCAAAATGCTGATATATCTCATGCTCAACACAGTCTAAACTCACCACAGCTTCTTTTGTTTTGTTTTGTTTTGTTTGTTCTTAAATAAAGTTTGGGAACCACTGGTCTGTTTAAACACCCAGCAGACACGGAGCAACATTAACATTCATCCTCAAGTCGTGTTTCTGGCCACCTGGCAAAGTCCAATATTCAATCTCCTTTTAGCTCAGGAAATACAAGGCTTTTTATCTGCTAAATGCACCACAATGTTCCCTAGCTAGTCATTAACTTTGTCTGTCTGGTGGTGTAGTGGATTTATGAGAGCTTTTTCAGCTGTGGCTGGAAACAGGGTTGATGAGAGTGGTGAGAGTGAACCAAAACAGTAAAGGTGCAGGCCATAAACCAAAACAATGAGCTTAAAGATAATTATCTGTTGGGCCATGATTATGAGTGACCACTTTCACTAAAGGTGAGCGTAATGGCTGTTAAATAATATCACAATATTTCTGGGCATTTCTGCGATGATGACAGTCTTTACAATATGACTATATAGTAAAACTGAAAAAAGTTTTGGTTTAGAACTCACTATAGCTGTTGGCTCTCCTTGTACTCAACCAGAATAAGTTTGTTGCATTGCCCTCTTTTGTTGTTATAGTCTTCCTGTACTTCTTACATATTCTTATTAACTTCTACAGCTTTGAGGCTTCTTTTATAACCTGACATGACTCAAAAATAAATCAGTCAAATGTTGCAGTCTAGTTATTGTGTGCAAAAAGAAATAACAAAAATGACTTGTTTGTATTGACATACGGGCACAAGTTTGAACAACAAGTCTTGTGCGTCATAGCTGAGCTTTGGCTGGACATCCAGGACACAGATGATGATCGTAACAGATAGCAGAGGCCTAATGCAGAGGAAAGTTCAAAGAATACAGAATGGGAATAATGACTGCATTCAGGGCAATCGACCAAGTGGAATTTAAAATAAATGCATAAATGTCATTAGCTATGCAACAAATAGGTGGATTAGGCTATCTGAACCTTTCAGGTACTAAGTCTCTGACGTCATGGAGGGAACAGAGAGATGATTCCCTTTGTTTGCTCAGAGGAGTAAGTGCGATTAAATGGCTCAATTATAGATTTGTCAAATATTTGCCACGGGCAGTGGTTTCACCGTGTTCCTTCTTTAGAAAGAGCCTGAAGGCTTGAATCAATGGCAGCCATGAGGGAGAGGGAAATCTACAGAAGCTGTAATGGGGCTCAGACAGGGCTATTGTTACATTCATACACATCTTACACTCCATTTCACACACAGGCACACACACAGACATGCACACACATGCATGCACGCACATTTAACACAAAGAGGATGCATACAGAAAAAAAACATGAATCTGAGAGTAAAGTTCTGTTATCGGAAATCAGTCCTTAATTATTTTTTTCTTCGTCTCTATTGAAGGAACAGTAATCATTAAGGACACGCAAAGCACTCATATGACTCACACAGGTGGGAGCATACACGGAAAAAAGGTCCCAGTCTGACGCTGTCGTGGTGGTCAAATGTTAAATTCCTAAAGAGAACTAACTGGGAGGGTTAGTGCTGTCACAGCCTGTAACTAAAGTATGAGAAATGAAATGACAACAAGTCATTTAGTAGCAGCCAAGAGAAAACAAACCCTCTATGGCCTGTCCTGGCATTATCCAAACAAATCCTTGGTGTATGTTGGAACATACCTGTGGTTAACCAAGCCATGACACCACCCATCCCCCCACCCCCGTCAGCTTTAGGATTACATAAATGTTGAGAAGTAGGTCAATGTGAAGGCGTACACAGTTAACAGTAACAGATCTGGAGACCCTCGCGCCACACTGACCACAAGGATGTGGCAGTCTGTCTCAGTAAAAGAGCCGTTTAAGCCAAACTTACTGCACTGTCAGACTGCTTTCACTTGGGGCTCCCAGGATATCAGGGCTCCAAGGAGGAAAATACCACACCATAGTCCTGCTTAGACACATTTACAGCTGTCTGAATGGTGGGAGATAGCAGCAAGGCCAAGATTACATAAATCATTTGAAAAGAGAATGAGAAACACAGTTAAAGTGCAGGGCATTATGCCCCTGATTGTTAAATGGGGTTTCTCTATGGTGTGTGTGAGAGAGGTAATTGCATTTTGGAGAGCTGAGAAAGGCTTCATTAACTACACATAAAAGTTTGGATGACTGGCTATGTGTAGAGACTCATTAAAAAGAAATAGTCTTCACGTAATTAGTTTTCTGTTTATGCTCTAGTAGGTGTTTATTATCAACTCCTTTTATTATTTTCTAGATTAAAAGCTGAAATTGAAAGAGAATACCAAAATTACATCTCATCATAAATCTTTCAATGAACATTGGTCACAATTTGGGTGCTGGGCTGATGATACAAAAGACTCTTAAGAAATAGTTTAATAAAGGGTTATATGAAACAATCCCTTTATTTAACACCATGAGAGTGAAGCTCCAAGGATCTAGGTCCCATTTTCCACATTCATTTTAAAGCTAAGATGATCATAAAACCTATCCTTAAAGATTTATGGCATTTTACCAGTAAGCATTTAACTACAGAGGTTCTTAGAAACAATAACAGGTTAAGGAGTACCTCTTCTAAATAAGCCTTGTAGAATCGCTCTTTGATAACACTCTTAACCTCAGAGATCATTTGTTATCAGGAAGGAGGGACGTACACATTTCCAAGCAGGATTGCAAATATGTCAGGTATTAGAAGTAACAGTCAAATATGCAGTAATAAGTAGTTAAAGAGGAGGGATATGCAAAAAAGAAATTTTGAGAAACTTCATGGATACAGGAGGAGTGACTTAAGTAACATATTCTACTGTAATACCTCGCTTTACTCAGTGCACACTCACATAGAGAGACACCCAAGCATAGCAGAGTACTGCAAAAATAAACAGGAATATGAGTCCAAAGTCTGTCCCAGAGCAAATAAAGTGCTCATTCCAATCAGCAGGGCTGTAAAGAATGTGTCTGCTGTCTACCTCTCACTGTGATGGCTCCAACAATACGCGAGAGCTGCAGGCTAGGAACTATTGGAAAGCAGAGGGATGGAGGCTGTTGGTTACAAATAGACATGAGCCTCCACCTTTGGGAAAAACAGAAGGGGCTTCAGTAAATACATCTCCACTTGGCACCGTCTCCTCTGTGTTTATTGGGTTTGACCCCCACATACTGGACTTCTGTACCCAAACAAGGAGGAAAAGCCAATAAACTCACCTACCTCATGGAGCATTACAGTTCAGCCGTCTTTAGCTAGTTTCCCTAGGTCTGATAAAAACTACATTCACAACCAAGAATTCATGCTGAATAGGAAAAAATGTTACAGAAAAAAATATTTGACAACCTCTATGAGCACTGCTGCAATGCAGGCTGCCGTCAGCAATGGTTGTTTGTACTCAACACAAACAGCTTGCATGCCTTCCAGGTCGCTCTGTTTTATACCACTGAAAGCAACTCTAATAAAATGCTTTTATGACCAAAATTCCCTGTGCTGTAAGACATCAATTGGAAAAAACGTTAAATATTCCAAAGATAGGAGGCCAAACATAAGCACTGTGAGTGCTAGCTCGGTTAAAGGCCATTCCACTCTCCTCCAACATTTTAGGAAGCTCTTTTAAAATGAATCAGAAGGTTCTCAGATAAACTGAGATTTACTCTTGAGCTGTTGCAATAAAACACTAATAAAATCAGTGAATAGTCATATTTTAACATAAGTAATATTGTCTATGTTGAGAACAACGTACACAGAAAGAAGTTGTGTGTTTTTTTTTTCCTCGAGGGAAACCCAAGTGGGAAACCCTAATCGCCTTCACCTTTGGCCTACCTGGGCTGACAAATAAAGGACCACCCACATCTCTAGTAAAGGCTGACAGGGCTGGGGTGGAGGTGAAAGTGGGTACTTTTATGTCAATCACTCCATGTGCTACACTGCAACTATAAAGTCTGTGTGAGAACACATGGCCATGTATAACTAGTATTTAAAGGATAATGGTTTTTCACATTTTAGTCAATGTGCAACAAAATCAGTGATTCTCAAAGTGGGGGACCCCCAGGGGTCCTTGATGGGGATCCAGGGGGTCCCCAGCAAAAAGGGGAATACTGTATTTTGATTATAATTTATAATTTTTCATTATATAAGTAGTATAGTGACTGACTATGTCTGACTATTTTGGTCATGGGTTTCATACACTTTCTGTAATAAAACATCTAAAAGCAAAAATACTATCAGATGGGGAACCCTGAGACAAAAATGGGGGGTCCGTGGTCTAATTTGTGTTAGTTTAGGGGTCCCTGATGTGAAAAATTTTGAGAACCACTGCTTTAAATCACAACTAAGCACTCTGCATCCCATGCAAGCCAAACCATTTAAACCATCCATTGGGTTCTATGACCTTCTAAACAATATGAAAATCTATTAGCGTAAAATTGATTGAAACTTAACTTGGATTGAGTAATCCATCGTTCTAAACATCTGGTCTTTGTATCGATGTAGAGTAAACATGATTTGTAGTTTAAGTACAAGTTTACTAAAAATGACAAAAATACATATTTTGCCACTGGTATCCAAAACAATATGGAGGTGAATGGAATTGTGTTGGTGGTGCTCAAAGCTTTTACATTTGAGAAGCAATATCTCCTTCCAGAAGCAACGTCCTGGTTTCAGAAGACAATCCACAGCCTCACTGTTTTCATTGGAACTACTTTCTACCAAGGATGTAGTCCCTATGAAAACTGCTGATGTGTTGAGTGGATTATCCTGAGCAACAGGGACACTGGAAAAACATGCTGCTGTTGCATTTTTCAAATGTCATTTTTTTACCCTTCACGGAGCTAAACCTTGCAAACAAAGTCGTATGGTCCTTTAACGAGCTAGGGAAAAAGTATGGGCTGTCTGAAATTTCAAGAAGCTGTTGCTGAACAATTAAATCAGACTGTACTGAATGACATTCGGAAACAGGATGAACTGATGTAAGATGGTAATATGCTTAAGTAGACATCTGCCAGGGAGGTTTTGTGGAAGTACATATGATTTAGGATCAAAAAGGGAAATAAAAGTTATATGGAAAGTGCCTGACAACTGTCACCCAAAGTCATTTCCCATAACCTGTCAGGCTTTCCGAGAGCTGTGGTTAACCGACTCTTACTACCCTTAACCCCTATCAAAACTTGGCATCTGTCTCACATATACCAAAAGATGATTCAATTGAGATGATTTGAGTAGGAATCCCCATTGTGTTTGTTTTTGTTCCACGAGTTGAGGCCCCTGGAAAGCCAAAGTAAAATACCCAGAGCTCCCACATATTTAAGCTATTTCAACATTTGGGAGGCCCAAGGTGTGCCACAGAACAAAATGTCCAACCAAACAAAACATTATGTGGCCCGGAGCCTGACCTACAATGGCCTTTTCCAGTGGGAAAGATTTGTTTGGTGCTTTGAGTGCAGTGCAAAGCAGGGGTTACAGAGCTACAAGAAGGGTCGAGAAAGGAGGTGGAGAGTTTTGTGTGAGTCATGTTAAAATGAAGTTCTTGTTGAAGGCTTCCCCCACCCTCTCTTCCCTCCCACGCAGGGCGTCCCTAGTGTATGGTGCCTGCTTGCTCACAGCAAGAGAAACCCCTGGGTAAAAGGTTAGGAAAGCCACAGA